TTGTGAGGTATTGAAGCTTCAGTTACTTAGAAGCTGTTGTGAGGTATTGAAGCTTCAGTTACTTAGAAGCTGTTGTGACGTATTGAAGCTTCAGTTACTTAGAAGCTGTTGTGAGGTATTGAAGCTTCAGTTACTTAGAAGCTGTTGTGAGGTATTGAAGCTTCAGTTACTTAGAAGCTGTTGTGCCACTACTTCAGAAGCTGTTGTGAGGTATTGAAGCTTCAGTTACTTAGAAGCTGTTTGAGGTATTGAAGCTTCAGTTACTTAGAAGCTGTTGTGAGGTATTGAAGTTGCTGTTGTGTAGGTATTGAAGCTTCAGTTACTTAGAAGCTGTTGTGACGTATTGAAGCTTCAGTTACTTAGAAGCTGTTGTGAGGTATTGAAGCTTCAGTTACTTAGAAGCTGTTGTGACGTATTGAAGCTTCAGTTACTTAGAAGCTGTTGTGACGTATTGAAGCTTCAGTTACTTAGTAACTGTGTTTGACGTTTGTAAGTTTACGTTATTTAGTAGCTTATGTGGCGTATGGAAGTTACAGGTGCTTAGTAGCTGATATATGCTGAAGTTACATTAACTGTGATGTATTAAGTTACCGAAGTTTCAGCTATGTAGTTGATGACGTATCGAAGAAGTAGAAACTTGTCAAATAGATCCGCATTCAAAGTGAACGTTTAGGACAAAAACATGAATATATGTTACTGAGTTAACGAGAGTACCGAAATAGAAGCCGGACAGTTCCCCCTCCCCCTATCCTACCCCATGACGTTATCCTGATGCCTTCGACCCCCTCCCCATAATCGACCCCCTCCCCATAATCGACCCACGCAGTATCGTGGCTTCCTTCCCGCCAACGACATGTACGACAGCTGACTTCCCGTCCTCGACATCAAACGACTCGGGGAGACTATATTGCCGGTTTATTGCTGTCCTGGGACGTGGGGTGGCCTTGTGGTTAAAGTGTTCGCTCTTCACGCCAAGGTCCGGGTTCGATTTCCCACACATGTATAATGTTTAAGCCGATTCCAGTTGTCTCCACCGTGACGTCCTGGAATACTGCTAAAAGCGGCGTACAACAATATTCACTCATTCATTGATATCCCAAACATAATATTACTTATATGAATTTATAAAAATGTGTCAGCAATTGAATTTTACATCAGTACCTCTTAATTATTATATCTAGTTCTTTAATGTTATGAAGCCCATTTCTGGTGCCCCCCGCCGTGATATTGCTGGAATATTGCTAAAATGCGGCGTAAAACCATACTCACTCACTCATATAATGTTATCCAGTCTAATACCGAACATCGCCCATTGTTTTGTTGTTGTGCAATAGGTACATTATAACATTCATACTATCACGGATGTTCCAGTATTGTCAAGCATGTCAAACTGTGCTATATAAATAAATATATATATGTTTATACTTCCTTATTTAGATTGAGTCAGTGGGTGTATTTTGTTTACCGCCGTGCTCAGCAATATTCCATCTATATGATGGCCACCAGAACTGAGTCTGGACTAGACAACCCAGTGATTGACTGTGGGCAAAGGTCCACGTTATCTGGCCTCGACGGCATACCGTCAATCACGTCAGCCTTACCACCCTATCCAATACGTCACCTCTTACGACCAGCACAGGTGATTGGAACCGCCATCAGTAGATCCCAAAACGGCCAAGGGCCGCAACTCCACATCATGTGACCAAGTTTGCGTTTGAAATAGAATATTCTGCATGTAATCGTTTGTATTGTAGCTGAAACAAACATCAGTTCTGTTTGTTTGAATATATAATAAATTCCGAGCGAATATTTCATGTAATTTCAATGAGAGGATAGTTTATGAAGTCCTTACTGCACGGGAAAGGTAAAGTGTCGTAAAAAGTTCGATGTTAACTTGTTATGATATCCTACATAGCGAGAGTTGAAACTTTGATGTACACGTGTGATTCATTTGTGTGTTGATGTATTCGGTTCAGCCATTTCAGAAATGAATAACAAAGTAATTCTTTTTTAAACAACTTGAACATTAATCTTGAAATGAGATAATATTCATCATTTTTGTTTTCTAAACTATTTCATACTTAGACAGTCTATATCTTCTGTAAAGTAATCTTGAAATGAGATAATATTCATCATTTTTGTTTTCTAAACTATTTCATACTTAGACAATCTATATCTTCTGTAAAGTAATCTTGAAATGAGATAATATTCATCATTTTTGTTTTCTAAACTATTTCATACTTAGACAATCTATATCTTCTGTAAAGTAATCTTGAAATGAGATAATATTCATCATTTTTGTTTTCTAAACTATTTCATACTTAGACAATCTATATCTTCTGTAAAGTAATCTTGAAATGAGATAATATTCATCATTTTTGTTTTCTAAACTATTTCATACTTAGACAATCTATATTTTGTGTAAAGCCACCCAGTATACATGAAAAGCCACCTCAAAATCTCCATGACAACCGTCCTCTGTTTATCACGGACTTAAATGACACTGTTACATTTCTACATAACGTGATACCATCGAACTTACTTACCATCCCCATGACCCGCTGCCATGGCAACGTATATAACTCTGTGGAAAACAATAGGAAGTGAATGTGGCCGACCTATGACTAACCCATCTGAGTAATCACATCCCGAACAGGTTTCCATACATTTCCTGACCTACATGAGAAGGGGGGCGACGAAGTCCGAATGTCAACCCATGCACATTCTGTATTCAACAACTTTTAACTAATATATTTCAAATTGAAGATCTCAGACTGTTTCAAATCAGTCGCATGTTTTTTAATTATTCTACAGCTTTGCCTTATTAGCAGACTCGGTCACTGTATTTGACGTACTCGTTTGAATTTCGGTTAAAATACATATAAACAATTGTTTATAAGCATAATACATATTTTGGTAATATATACCGGGTTGTAAATGCACTAGTTTTGTTTGTTTCTCTGGGCGTTTCCTAGCTCAGTCTTACCCTTAACAATATTTATACATGTCAGTTACGATGGACGAGGATGGGACATTATTTAGGTGTAATCTGTTATAAAATATTGATATTTACGGATATATATGTGTTCTTGTTTCTGTATATTGAGTAACTATTTATTTGAGCATGTTATATCCATATTGGATAAGTTTTCAATATGATGGCAATTTCGACATTCATTTCATATTTGCTTTGCGTTAACTCAATTCTTTGTGACATTTTTTTTATAATTACCATGGTTTTACCATACTTACACGCAGGTATGTTTGCATGACAATAATCAAACGATATGCGTCCTTTCTGAGATTTTAATTCATGGTTCCAAAACGTTTTTCACATAGAATATTAGTGTTTCAGGATATTCATTCTGAGTATATGTCTCTGTCTGTACAGACACCCATATATCTGTCAGGTGATCATCCTGAGTATATATACCTGTTGATGTTATTAAATAAGCTAGGGGCGGTGGGGTAGCCTAATGGTTAAAGCGTTGGCTCGTCACGCCGAAGACCCGGGTTCGAATCCCCACATGGGCACAATGTGTGAAGCCCATTTCTGGTGTCCCCGCCGTGATGTTGCTGGAATATTGCTACAAGCGGCTTAAAACCGAAACTGAGTCAGTCAGTCAGTTAAATAAGCTAACATATATAACACCCCGAGTATATAAAACATCAGTGTATTCTGTATATATTGCTTCTAATGTTGAGAAGTCGGCCTATATAGTACCTAAGATCTTACTGATCCTGCGAGATAGGCTTATAGTTTGTACCGTGAATATATGTACTGGCTCAACCTGCAGTTACTTGGATGCTGTCCAAGACTTGTATATATGTATACAACATATTTTCTGCTTGGTGAATCTGGTGTGGACCGTGTTTTTTCATGGACAGCTGTTCCCACCTGTTCTGCGGTGTTAGTATCGACAGCAAATTCAGCTGTATATGTATTTATGACGGTCATCATGATGTATCTTATTGCAACTAAAAAAATATAGTCATTTAATGTTACAGTCATTACACATATTGCAACCGTAAAAAATGTTTAGAGGAGAGAAATATATTGTGACATATAATACCTTATTGACTTATATTAGTCTACTGTCTCAGGGGCGTCACACACATTCCCAGGGTCATTTTACACTGGACCTCCCTCCTTCCCCACGTGCACGCCCCCGTGGGGTAGAGAGTGCGCAAGAGGCACTTATTCGCCACCAGGTGTCGGAAATCAAGACGAGTCACATGACTTCGTGTAATTGACCCAGTATCCTGACCCAAGACCTCATATTTGCGACTTCATCATAACGTAGACTGCAGCTGTGCTGTCACAGTCACGTGCGTACACAGCATGTGACAAGGGATATTTGTTTCATACTATAGAGTGACGTTATTTTAGTGATAACAATCCAGGGCTAACATGTGACAGGTCACATTTACTCCGATTCTCGATTTATTTTACTTTGCAGCGTATTTGACAGCCAATTTTAAACATGTGCCCGTCATGTGGCTCCAGGGTTGTTTTTGTGATGGTTTAATAATTTTTTTAATTTTCGTCGCAACTGAGCTGCTGAGCGTGTCGGGAGTGTATGTTAATGGGGAGAGTGGATGTGTGTATTGGTGGGGAGGGCAGCTATAACGGGTATGAGCTGTGGTGGGTGGGTGTGATGAGTGTGTATATTGGTGCCATGGACGGCTGTCACGAGTATGTATTGGTGTTGAGGGTGGTGAGACGGGTGAGTATATTAGTGAGGCGGATGGGTGTTTGTGCTGGTGGGGAGGGTGAGTGTAACGGGTGTGTATATTGCCGGGGAGGGTGGTGTGCACATCGCTGGGTGTAACGGGTAGGTATTTGTGTTGAGGGTGGTGTAACAGGTGCGTATACTACTTGCGAGAGTTGGGTGTGAATACTGGAGGGGAGGGTGGGTGTTATGGAGGTGGGGAGGGTGGGTGTATGTGACTATGTAGGATGGTACTCCACAATCCACCATAGGAAGAAATCAAACATATTTTCAGCATATGACAATAATTTAATTGTCTCATTTTTTCTATAAACAAAGATGAAAAGAACATAATAAAAGCCCTAGACGTGATACTTCATATTCATGATATAAAAACATGCGCAGCACCAAATTGTCACGTGACCAGCACGAATCTGTTCCCATGTTCACAGAAATATATAATTGAGTCCCTCTTTCTCAGTCTTTGTATTACACTTGCACCCGATCTTCACAGAAACCGCGAGGTCAACGTGGAAAATAAATATCTGTCCATGACATACATATAAAGTCCATTGAGGCTACCATAAAAGGCCAGCCAGGAACCATGAAGCATTGTCCACATGTAAGAGTCGTACAAAATGTATTAGAAATCCGTACAAAAGCGTATGAATACGGCAAGGCTGGGTGTGGAGAGGCTGTCGCGGAGGCACTTCCGCGCGTCCGTCTCTCTCCGTGCATACGTCCGCCACACCGACACGAGGACACAGAACCCAGTCAGCTGACCCCCTCCGGGAAAACCTCGGATGGGGTAAAGGCAAAGTCATACTGGCTCAATGATGAGGTAAAATAAAGATGAGGGAAGTCCTTACAATGAAATGAGTGTAGGTGAACCAACAGCTTCGGAGCCGCTCTCGCTGGAGCTGCGATGAGCCTGGCTTGCACACGATGTCGAGACTGGCGTCAAACCCGTGCCTCCATCCACTAAACTATCTAATCCGTTGAAGGAGAACAGGCCATTGGAAGGCGTGCTGATTGGAACTCCGGCCACAGACTTCTTCTCCTGTTTGACGAGGGACAGAGAGTTGGGTCTGTGGGTGTTGGGGGTTGAGAACTTCGAGTCTGAACTTCTAGCTGCACAGTTAACATGGCTGTGGGGCTCAGTCTTCACCTTAACTGTGTCCACTTTCATGTTGATGGCGGACTCGACCTTGCAGAGAGGCTGGTGAGCCTGTAGGATGAACTCAAGCTGGTCCTTCTGCTGCTGCAAGCTCTGGATCTCACTCTCCAGGACACTCCTCTCACTCTCCAGCTTGTCAGTCTCCTGCAATACAACATACAGCACATGAGTACAAGCATTGCAAGGGTGCAATATCGGTGTTTAAAAACCCCTAAACATTCAGGATACAGATGAACTGGAATTGTATTCATTGACTTTGTGTTAACCCTATTAAATGACATTTTTGATAATATTCATTTATAAGTCGTTATTGGCAAAAGTACTGTCCATAATATATTGTAACCATTTTACACTTGATAACTCCCCTGTATGTAGAGATATATTCCATAGGTTAGACAGAACAGTACTTACATCGACAAGTTGGTTTGTATGGTCAACACGTCGTTGTCTACATTTAGCAGCGGCAACCTTATTTCTCTCTCGGCGGACTCGGCGGCGCTCGCTCTCTTCCGGAGTTAAATCCTGAAAATAAATTTAAGCATTATTAGTCTATGACCTTAATACCTCCTATAGTCAAACAAATAAATTATTTTCTGTGGAACTAAACATGAACCGTTAATCTCTGATCGGTCATTAGTGTCAGAACAAAGACACGTTGATGATATCCTTTTTTAACAATGGTTTTACCCTAGGGTATTAGCCTTAACACAGATGGCATCCCTCAGGCCATAGAGACCATATATCTCAATGGGTTCTCTGGGAAGGAGATACCCTTAGGCTGTAGCAGTAGGAAGTGTCTGTTATAGTCAATGTTTTAAAGAAATATGCCGGAGGGATATTTTCAGTCGCGACTGAATACCTTTTCTAATCAGCCATGACAAGACAGTGATCATTAAAATACCTTGACAGGTCACTTAGTGAATGTTTTTATTCTAAGTGCCAGCGGCTGCGCTCTTATGCGATAACTGGCAAATGTTTGATTTTGAAACAACAAAATAATATTATATTTAATGGATAATATTATTTACCTTATCGTCAAAACGTCTTCTTTTGCGTCCGGATCCACCTTGGTACGATGGTGTATTTCCATCGACGTCGGAGTATGGCCGTTTGGCTGAGGTGAGCCATTCTTGGTCGGAGTTGGAATCGCTGTAGTCGTAACCGTCGTGAGAGTGTTCCTGCGACACGGGGTCGACGATAGGGGGGACGAAGCCACTTTGGGTGAGAGGGTCCTGGCTTGCCGAGCTGACCGGCACCGATTGGAGCTCGATGAATGTGCGCTCAATACTGGCAAGGGTTGTCGGGGTCAGGGTGGGCGTGGTGGCCGTTGTCACCCCGCTCAGATACCCTGGCAACGAGTACTGCAATCCAAAATACATAAATACAATAATTTTGTTTAAAGCAAACATATTTTCATACTTTTTCAATTCTAAGCGCGCTTCATTTTTCAAATCAATTTAACCACACACAAAATCGATACGAGTTTTAAATGACAAGAATTAATTTTTAAAACAAATCGCATTGGAAACATTTTCAGAAAGTTTGAAAGTTTGACACGTTGCCGTCTACCTACCCATGGGTACGGATTAGGGTTACAGTTATAGTCCATTCGATAGTAATCCGACATTGTTGGTAGGGTACAGAATCTCGCGAGTGTACAGAACTGACAAGCGCTCTCCCTTCGCGTGAGAATGCAAGTGCAACAACTCGCGGCCTCGCGAGCCTCCTATCTTTTATATCTGTCAAATGTCATCGTTACGGATCTAACCAAGCGTTCAGAACGGAACCTAAAGTATTAGAAGCCTGTATAGCCCGGGTCAGGTCATGACCCCGCTCCGCCAGCCAATCAACGCGGACCCCACGCGCTGTAGCTGCAGGCGAGACTGCTGTCATTAGTATCAAAACTAAAGCATGCTCGCTTTGTTCGCTGAACTAACCGCTGCTGATAGCCACATACTATCGCGGTATGGATTTGAAATTTGAAACTGAAATCGTTGATTCTCAAAGTTTTATGCCACTTTTGAACAATTTTTGCAACATTTAAACAGTTAACGGTACATGTTATGTAAGAATTCTTTTGTCCACTTACCCTGGCCATTTTGGCACACGAAGATGCCATATAGCATGGCGGGAGGTGAGGTGGACAAGGCGGTGTATCTACGTACAACATTGTAACTGCTTCTCTCTCAACTCCCAATACAACACAACCTCCTGGTGCGGGACAGAACTACACACTGTCAAGTTCAAGACCGACCGCCAGTTTTATCCACGACAAAAATTTACTCTGTCAATACAGTGAGGTTAGCGAGTTCGGCCACGCGGTGCACAACCTAAGCCCTAGCCAGTGCTTGCGCCAAAACTAACAAGAAATGTGTTCTTAGAACAAATATGATAGAAGACAATACGTACATTAGGGGTGACGGGCTCGCCATTTGCCATGGACGACAGAATGTCGGCCACGTATTTGGACTCGGTCGTGTAGCTTGAGTCCTCCTCTCGAGATGTAAACATTTTGGAAGCCAGTTTGACGGTTTTGTGGGATACACAGTAGTTCCAGTGAAGTTGTGACTTATATTTCGTCGTTACCCGGCTAGACTGTTACTTCCGTGGTTTTACTGGAGATTCTCGCTATGAGTCAGGTTATATTCTGTGGAGGGAATACCTCTACCGTGCTTTATACTGGCGTGACTCACTGTTAGTCATTCGCTAAAAATAGCACAATGATCTCACCCCGTCACGTGACGCGTGGTCTACTCTGCCTTATTTGGGTGTTGATTGTGACGTCACAGGTGTTTACGATAAGGTGTGACGTGATGTTTGGCCGTTCTCCAAGCATGAGAGGGCAACACGGGGATTCCACTGCTCTGAAGGCTGAATATATTAGTATATTTCCTAATTATGTTGATTCGTGAACTAGTTCTACGGACCACGAGTATCGGCGAGGCTCAGGGAAAATGGCTATATCGTGTGATATGTACTTCGCTGATGGCACATTCGCTTCAGATATAGGTCAAAGAAATCATACGTCATATATCGCAAGATTAAATTGCTTAAAACGTTCTAGATTGGCAAATACCGCATCATTCTAGAGCACATGTGCTTGTATATTATTAGCCGTTTGTGGACTATAAATAGCTAATGAGCTAATATTGTTATATCGATCTGTTGTCCTGGATGTCTCGCCAATATTCTCCGCACTCGCTCAACTCTGTCTACACCGGCTAGTTCAATAATTAAACGTTGTTTATGTTTACAAGATCAACAACAACAAAAATACGGCACCCATGACTATATTTGTCAAAATACGAGAGAGAGAAAAGGTATTGATCTGAAAGAAGTTCTACTATATATTAACCCAAAGGTGACGAATAATATATTTTTTAAATGCTGGGTCATAGGTAATACTGTTAAACTTGAAATCATACTCAAACTCAATGGGAAAAAAGGATGATATCTCATGAATTAGTTAGAAAGTGTATTGAAGATATTTTGTATGCTGGGCAATAATTTTCGTTTCAATCTAGGTAAACAATTTCAGATTATGTGGAATGACGCCATTTTTTTGTACCATGAATCCCGAAACAATTTTACGACGTAAAATGCACCAGGCAAACGTAAACCAAATTACCGCTTTGTAACTTGTTTGTGTATCATTTCATATTCACAGTCGTGTATATTCGAATAAATTATATATAATGTACTTCTAAGGGATCGATGATATCATTGTATAAATATATCGATCGTTATTAAAAACAACAGTCTGACTAATTTGTGAGACATTCATCGTATTCTTCACTGGCACCAGTCTCACCATTCTACGCAGCGTATATCTATTTTTGGCTGTGACGTAGCGGTGACTGTCTTTGACTGGTAGCGGCGGTGCCAGTCGTTGAGGTAGAGATGGTGAATCTGAAGAACACAGTAGGCTAATGTACCAAATCGAACACTTATGGCTAGGGTTCTTCACTCGTGTATACTACGTACTTTGTACTTACGAATCTCATACCGGATGGACGTGCGGAATCCAACAACTGGTCACTCACGAGTCCATAGGGCTGTCCAGACAGGCTGGACCCTTCCGAGGTGAAGGCCAGCTGACCAGTAGCAAACACATACCACTTATCAAAAGGAAAGGCCTCTCTTATACTGTTATAATGTGTAACAATTGTTCCAGGAATGAAATGAAAATCGTATGTGACAATATATTGTGTGTGCGTGTGCGTGTGCGTGTGCGTGTGTGCAGTCGGAATTAATACAAAAGGCATCATTATTATTAACATACAATATATTCCGATTCCTGGAGACCCCAGCTAGGTAACTATGGTATCCATACTGTCGATACAGTAATTTACAGGTGTCCCGTCAGTTGAACACATCTAACATATGGTCTGAAGTCGAGATTATAGATGACTTCTATAGTACAACAGACCAACCACAACTAATTAATGCGCATTTAGATCTCAACAGTTTCCGTGTCACTATTACAAGGTAAATATCTCGGACAATGCTGAATGGGAAAATCAACTATAAGGGGTCATTTCTTCATCCTTTATAACGACACATGCACACATCACATTTAAATCATTTTCGAGGGGAATATTGGGAGGGAAAATTAAGAATTAACACCCCTCCTTTCCTCACCACATATGTATCAGTTATATGTTTACTTGGGAGAATATTTGAGAGAAGAATAACAATTTGGGGTAGTTTCTCTTTGGGAGAATATATATGTTTACTTGGGAGAATATTTGAGAGAAGAATAACAATTTGGGGTAGTTTCTCAATCATCTTGTCACCACATATGTATCAGTTATATGTTTACTTGGGAGAATATTTGAGAGAAGAATAACAATTTGGGGTAGTTTCTCCATCATCTTGTCACCACATATGTATCAGTTATATGTTTACTTGGGAGAATATTTGAGAGAAGAATAACAATTTGGGGTAGTTTCTCCATCATCTTGTCACCACATATGTATCAGTTATATGTTTACTTGGGAGAATATTTGAGAGAAGAATAACAATTTGGGGTAGTTTCTCCATCATCTTGTCACCACATATGTATCAGTTATATGTTTACTTGGGAGAATATTTGAGAGAAGAATAACAATTTGGGGTAGTTTCTCCATCATCTTGTCACCACATATGTATCAGTTATATGTTTACTTGGGAGAATATTTGGGAGAATATTTGAGAATATTTGAGAGAAGAATAACAATTTGGGGTAGTTTCTCCATCATCTTGTCACCACATATGTCTCAATTGTCTATTTCCCTGGGAATATTTGAGGGACGAATAACATCGTCATCTTCAACAACACCACATATCTCTCAGTTATATACTGTTATTTTAGTGTTAGTGTTCTCGTGAAATATTATATCAGCGGTTATATAAGGGCTATCAATCATTCCTCTATATTATAAAGACAACCCACGTGATAATGAAACTGCCACATGACTTTATGTGGAATATATATGGGGAACATATTAAATTTAATATCGCAACGGTTGTCATTGGCACACGCTTGTACATACTGAATTGTGAGTACAGTTTTTAAATAAACACTTTCATGTTATATTATGAATACGTGAGGTCAGTATGACCTTGGCATACGATGTCGTGGCCGAAATTTTTCATCACCGAAATCGCTGCTGCTGCAGATAGCCAAGATTGACGCTGTGCATATAGCGCCATCTAGTGACACATTCTCAAAGTTACAAGTTCACAACGCCTTTCCGCCAGATTTGCTAACTTGTATTAGGCCGCGTTCCGCCAACGCACGAAGTCTCGGAATGCGACCGCCGCCTTCGTGCTGTTGCTGATGCAAGGGATGCAGAAAGTGCTGTCACAGACGAAAAATGCAAATGCACACAGCCTAATGTTAAGTTGTGTTGTAAAAAGCTTATCGCTTTTACACACGCACTTGCATTATGAAATATAACTCAAATGTTACGGTCACATGTTTATTCTAATGATCTGAAAAACCCCAGAAACCTACTCAATTACCGTAAATATGTACATTAGTGCCACCTTAAGCTATTTATTCCTATTTGTGGGAGTAACGTTATTCAGCGTGACACAGTGTGACAGAGTGTCACGACATACGAGGCTCCGTACCGATGATAATTATTTTCCAACAAAATAGAACAAGTATTTGTAGATCGATTTTCCCAAACCACCTGGTATCAGACTCCCGGTGCTGGAGGATTATTATAATCTCCGTTTCACATCTCTCGGCTGTTTGGGGTCGAATGTTGCATCTTACACATTCTTGATTGCACATGCATCTTTCCCTTCCTGCAAATAGCGATATGAGAAAAGGTTACTTTCGAAGTACTGCTATGCGACACCCACCATAGTGTGTTGGCTGAGAATAGCTTCTCGACCTTGACAAGACCATATATCACGCTATCAATGTTGTTTTGTCTTTTGATGCAGTTAGGTAATGTTCTGAAAACGTGATTACAAGTGAAAACATATTTGTGGGGGTATCTACATGTGTAACTATTTTGAAAATAGTTCGTTGTTTAAAATGACCAATGTTCACATTGGTCATTTTAAACAATAGCTGACAAGAATCGACTGCCATGGATCTGACAAATAGCAAGGATTATTTACATGTATATATATTATATAACCCTCATTAAAAACAACGAAGGTCCCTTAGCCTTGATCTTATGCATTTGTTAACACTCTTGTTTGGGGAAAATATGTTTGTCGTTATATAATTCTTATATAATGTAAAAGAAACTATTTCTTCAAGTGATTAAGTCAAATGCTTCGACATGTTAAAAGTGGGCGGTGGGGTAGCCCAGTGGTTAAAGCATTCGCTCGTCACGCCAAAGACCCGGGTTCGATTCCCAACATGGGTACAATTTGTGAAGCCCATTGCTGGTGTCCCCGCCATGATATTGCTGGAATAGCGACGAAAAGCCATACTCACCCACTCGAAATGTTAATTTTAGAGACCGTGGTTCAAATGACGCAAGTCAAAACTAGACGATTAAGAAACAAGTCAAACTGTTAACAAAGGTGAAAGAAATATATGTACATGCCAATGTCTTTGATGAAGGTGCATGTTCTGAAAACCTCATTTTCTTATGTTCAGCTGTTGAATATTTATGAGCTGTGACAAACACACTACCCGTGAAGAACCGCGATCTTAGCAACCTATACTTGTCGTAAGAGACGACTAACGGGATCGGGTTGTCTCGCTCGCTCACGTGGTTGACACATGTCACCGTAGATCGATGCACATGGTGTCAATCACTGACTTGTTTGGTCCAGTATCAACTATTTACAAACCACCGTCGTATGGATAGAATATTTCTGAGTGTGACTTTAAAAAACAATCAAACAAAAACAAACGAGCATTTTCATACCAAATAGGATCAGTAAGCTAGTATCCGTGTTTATGAATACGATAGGTAAATACCGAAGAGATAGCATAAGATATAAAACTGAAACATCGTTGGACTTAAGAAATGTCAAACAGTTAAAAGCGCAAGTCATGCTGAATGAAGTTCATGAATTATAAATAACCACGACCTTGTATATTTTTAGAAATATTCATCATGGATGAACTGTGTATACTATAGTTTATTAAGTTCCCTTTGACAATCATTCTGTCAATGGAATATATCGTTCATATTTCCAACATTCCTT